CTCGCCGCCAGGCGCAGCTGGACATCGTTATTGGTGGTCGCGCCAGCCACCTCGGCACCCTCGGCGATAAGATCGTTATTGATGATGACGACCTTCCTCGCGTCCGTCCACTCGGCCACCATGCCCACCACGCTGCCCATGACCGCCCTCTCCTTCTTCTCCGCACCCGCCCCGTCAATCTCGCCATCACTGTCCTCCTCGGCCTCTAACATGAAGAACTCTTCACTCACCCGCAGAATCTCCCCGACCGCCCTGACGGCGACTCTACCCATCCTCTCGCAGTTTTCGAGTCGCGAATGAACGTAGACGGGGAGGAAGTAGGCCAGGGCTTGCCGCAGGCTCGGGTTGTCGCTGGTGCGGGGGTCGAAGAATGAAACTGTCAGCTGCTGGAGGAGGGTGTCGATTGAGGGTTCGGGGAGGTGGAGGCGCGAGGTTAGGAGGAGTTTGGATAGGGAAGTGGCCGCTGTGGATTGGATGGTGGGGAGGGGGGTGTATTTGGGAGAAAGGGCGCGGGTGAGGCATTTGAGAAGGGGTTTCTGGTAGAGTGGGATGGAGGTTGGATCGGTGGTTGATGGGGAGGGTTCTTCGCTGGCGTTGCTGAGAAGATCGGGGTGCGTGGTGATGATGTCGCAGAGGATCTGGAGGGAAGTGATCTGAAGATTCTCGTGGCCTTTGGAGAAACAATGGATGAACAGCGTGATGTTTTCCTCGGCGAGGGAGCGGTCGAGGAGGCAGCATAGGCCTAGGCAGAGGAGGCCTCGTTCTCGGATCGGTGCTTCGTGGCTTCGGACTGCTGGCACGATGAGGTTGTTGAGCATGGTGACCAGGTGCATGTTTTGTTGGAGATTGCCGTCGACGTTTTGAAGCATGCATTGTGTGATGTGGAGGCACTTCATGTTGATCATGATCTCTTTGATGACCTTTTGCTCGTCTTCTTCGGGTGAAGGGCCATCGGCTGCAGGCGGACGCCTTGCTTGAAGGTTTGTGGATGTGCTCTCACCACTGACTTCGCTTCGAGCAGAAACGAAGCTGTCTTCTTCTCCGTCAACAACGGGCTCGGGCGCGATATTATCATGTACTTCGGCAATTGCTTCGAGAACTACGATGCAGAATTCGCGTTCTCCTGCTGCGTCGCAACCGCATACCAATCGGATAACCTCGACTACCAGCCTCGTAACTTCTTCTGGGAGGCTGGCCATGGCAAGGCTTTCTCGCAACAGAGAGAACATCTTCCGTCTACCCACTTCGTCACTGTAGTCCAAAGTCAAGGCAATGTGCAGCAGTTGTTCAACAATGAATTCCTGTTCAACAGCCTCATCTTCTCCACCGCCAAACTCTGCAGCGCTAGTAATGTTTTCGAGTAGAGTATTCAAGTATTTCTGCAGATAGAAGCCCAGACGAGTGACCTCCGGCATCTTTTCTTCACATAAGATCTGGTATTGTTGGTTCTGCTGACAGAAATCATTGAAGCTTCTGGCCATGAAAACAGATTCCGGCGTCAGCGCGCTCCAAAAAGCATCATCGAAGTTCACCGCATCGATATAATCAGGCCGACCATGCCAGAACTCTTTCATTGCCTCGAGCGCAATGCCTGTCTCGATGCCAGAATTGACTATATCAATTCTTTCCAGCAATTCAAGCAGGCCTGGCATACTGGGGGATGATGCTTCTTTTACGGGACCACCTTCTGACACCTCGCTGCCGTTCCCTGCGCAATCCTCGATCCATCGTTCGTAGAACAGGTGGCCAGCAGCTTTTCTGACATTCTCATCACGATCGCGAAGACCCCATCGGAGCAGTTTCTCGCGCATCGAAAGGGATAGGTGCCGGAAATCGCCTAATGTAGGGAGCAGTCGCGCATACAAAGCTCTCCTCGTCGCACCATCGAGATCTCTGGCTCTCTCCAGCAGACAGGGCAGCGTGGATGGTGTGAGCGGCAGGTTGAGCAGCAGTGACCTCCGTACCTCAGCGCTTGTGTCGTGCTGCAACACATCCAGCAGCTTTTCTAGAAGTCCAGTAGAGTCTAGATCCTCACTGTGATCGCTTTCAGGTTCGTCCTGAGCCTCATTCCCTGCCAGTCGGCCTAAGCCCATTACGGCTTGTATGCGAATTGTGGGCTCCTTGTCTCGGATTCGTCGCGTAAGCCCCTGACGAATCAGGTGGTAGAGCTCGTCATCAATGGAATCTAAGGTGTTGACCACATGCGAGATGATTTGTGTTGCGCGAAAGCGTACTGTCTTCTCTTTCACAGATAACATTGGAATAAAGAGTGAAAGCAGGCTGAAGGTCAACCGTGAGGTAGGCGTCTCCGGTACTGCATGAGTATCCTCGCCATTGACCTCCTGGCCAAATATAGCGAGATCCTTCTCGCTGGCAGTCTTGAGGAAGAGAGCCAAGAATCTCACAACACGATCTCCTGCTACCTCGGCCTTACGCACCCCCATCACTCTCAGCACACATCTTTCGACCTCTGCGTTGAAGTCGGCTTCTTCAAAACCGTCACCGAGCGGATTCTTCCTTTTCGATGCTGACTGCGGAACATAACAACATGCTTCTTGTATTTTACGCAGTCGCACGACCAGCTTGCGATGCCCGGATGTGCTCTTCTGGGAATCGGCAAAAGTTGTGCATATTTCGACTCGTAGTTGTGTCGAGGGGCCGTCTTCTGGCAGTCTGGCGACTGCAGTGGAAATGCGTGACGCTGTCGAGGCTCGAGAGTTGAGTGAGGGCGCCGAGGATTTGGTGGATGCTGTCGAGGGGCGCGCTGACCTTGCTGCTGACCTTGCTGTTGTTCTTCCGGGCATTTTCTGAGTCAAGTCACTTGTCTATCACCGAGATCAGGCCTGCACATCGATGTCCCTGACGAGTACTGGTTTCGGATTTTTCTAACGCGGCCAACTTGAGGTGATTTGGACATGTCCCAATTGGGACGAGTAAACAGAGCTAACCGTGGCGGTACTAGCGTATTCGTGGGATTCGCTTCATCTGGAGTCTGGAGATGGGAGGATCTGTGTCAGTAGACTCCTTGGTAAAGCGTCCCTCAAGCAATACTCTCTTGCTCTTGATGGCTAAGGCACACAGCGCCCTCGTTATCCTGTCGCTAAGATGCAGCAAGATGCAGCAATTGAACCCATTCCACGAAGGGCGCGCGTTACTTGTGCTCTGTATCTTCCACCCCCTTGCCATTTAGAACATCTGGAGGGATTGCTTGTTCTCAATCCTCCATCAACAGGCATGATGCTTTCGGTGCTGCTCTGCATGATATCCGTGTTTCATCCACATCGCTTCTTATTGTCTCGAAGCTGGATTCTGCGCTGCAAAGAAAGAATCTGCTCCTCCTCTTCTCTTCCTCCCTAACTCCCAAGTTTGTTTCCTTCTCTGCACTACATGTTAAGTCCCATAAATCCTCCGATATATGGCCATCAGCAAGACAATTCCGGCTGCAGCGCTGCCGTTGGCCATTTCTGTGCTCTTCTACTCTTTCATCAATGCTCTTGCCAGCTCGCTAGTACTTTGTATGCAATGGAAACACAGCGGCAAGCTTAGTTGTTAGTGGAAGCCTGTGAAAAGGGAACCCGTCCTCATGCTTGGTCCGGCGGCTGACGGTCTATTTTCATAGTGATCTCTCTATCGGCTATTGTGATTACACTCAGCACCGTTCTGTCGATGATCCAACAAATCAACTACATTGTCGCATGGATGGCAATCAAAGATGCTGCCTATCTGAATGCAGGGGATCGCCAGAGTAATCCATCCTACGCTTTTATCACAACATACAACGAGCTTGATACCATTGTCTTTCTGATTCGTGAGTGTAAGATACTGCTGAGCCATTAGATCAATATAACATTGGTCCCTTACAGGTTTCTATTGCTATAATGTTCAATCACTTCTGTTTTTGTTCTGGTAGGATACGATACTTCTGCCTACAAATCGATGAAGCTGACTCGGCAGGGCTATTGGTTTATGGCATGCTACTTGGAAGGCCAGAGCCGATCTGTTGAGATTGAAGGATGAAAGCATTGTCCTGGCCGCAAAGATTTTTGCCATCTTGTTTCCCATCCTAATTGTTAGCACCATGCGCAGTCAGCTCATTAAGAAAGATCCAGTTATCAAACTGATCTGGTCTAATCTCATCTGTGAGTACAAGGCCGGCGCATCGCAAATACTTTCGCTGTGCCATCTCTGCAAATCCTTGTACGGGAGCTGACGGGCTTCCAGTATTGGCTAGCACCACTGCTGGATCCATCTTCCTCATTCTTATCCTGTATACGTACATCCATGTACACCGCAAGGCAGCTACCAAGAAACCGGGCCCGATGCCAAACATGGATTTCTCCTTCCGCATGAATCGAAGGGCGTCTGACGCGAGTGAGATGCCTACTAAGCCCGCACCAGCAACTGACATGCGAAGCATTGCGTACGATCGCTGGCTGATTGCGCGATTTCTTGTCTGCTTCGGCCTGTCAAATGGGCTTCAGGTCTGCCTAATTGTGTACTACTACCATGTCTCCGCTCGCAACACTGAACTTGCGGACCGAGGTGGACCAGACTACACCCTTTCCTCTACGCTGAAGGAGCTCGCCCTCTCCATACCAGGCGTGAGTCTTGGTTTGCTGATTTTCATCGTGTTTGGTACCACCGCACCCTTCCGCCGAGAATACAGGAAATGGTTTCAGCCATGCAAACGAAAGCGTCAAGGCAGGGACGGACCAATCATGGTGACTCGCCTTGGTTCTGTCAATGCTGCTAACAACGAGCTCCACTCCGGTCAAATGAGGACCGCTGTTGAAGAGAGCTCTATTGGTGTCGATGACTTGGAGAGGCGGAATTCTTTTTCGAGCACCTGGCAGTTACCGCCTATAGACTTGGATGGGTTTTCGGAAAAAGAAGTCTTCCCAAGGTCGGCACTGGGAGATGACAGAAGATGATTATTAGGACAGTAATTGGATTTGGATATGTACCAGATAGAGTCTTCACAGCTGTCCTTCCGGACATAATTAATACTAGCAATTCTTCGTCACCTCCTCCCATGCTCGGCTATACTACCACGTACGTTAGTTCTTCAGCCCTGCTGTCTCTGCCGGTCACGAGGACAACATTTTCTCCTGCATAAGTTGGAACGCTAGGGGCGCTATGATCGGCAAGAAACATGGTTTGCCTGTGCCTTGATTGTGCCGCGCGCGTTTGTGGGGAAGGGGAGCGAGCGGAGGACCTTGCGATTTGGGACGGACACTTTGCCTGCTATCTATGTTAGTGCTTAACTGTCAACATTCCTAGCTTTGCATTTCCAGATCCAGTCACTTGCGCCCTTCGTTCTGTGTTCTTCCTCCCAGTAGATGCTACCGCCTTGTGGTCATACTTCATTCCAAATCGATCGCCACGATGACTACTGAAACACAGACAATACCTCAGTCGCATTCCACTCCCACTCAGAAGTTCTCGCGGTATCGATCCGTAAGGCAAGCAGCTACGACACAAGCACCTCCTCCGCCAGCGGTGACACAGTTATCGCGGCATTCTCAAAATGAGTCAATTCAGCGAAGCATGTCGCGCTACCGGAAGCCATCTTCTAAGCCTGCACCCTTCAGCAGTCCGCCTGTACCAGAGCCGACGGCCAAACCCTCAAGAATTCCTCAGAGCCATTCAGCATCATTAGCTGCGCTGACGGGTGAGCCATGTCCGGAGGACCAAGAATCACCCAGTTCGACTCCAAGCAAATATGTCCCTTCTCGACCCCGGCAGTATTCGAGTCCAAGGAACGCGACGTCACCCAGGAAGATCAATGCCTTACAGGACACCCCTCTCACGCGTCGTGCGCCATCAACAGAAGAGGCCACTCAGCCTCGACAGTTGTCTTGGGAGGCAATTTGTGATTTAAGAGCAAGACCGCAGCCGCCGCCGAGTTCCGCGCGTAGAGAAGATTGCGAGATGCTGGTCGCAGAGAATGAGCATTCTACACCGGTCAAAGCGCGCCAATCGGCAGAAAGAGGAGCCAAATTACAGAAGAGGAGGCTTGTAGCCACAGAGGAAAGAAAACGTCTGGAAGATGTCCGGACTAAGCAACAGGAGCTAAACAAGACGGATTACCAAGCACAGGAAAAAGCAAGGCCGAGCATGGTGCAGCAGCGAGATCAACAACAAGGAGCGGCTTCCGGGAGGGCTGCAGGTGCAAGAGCCGCGAAGAAAGAGTCTCTTGATCTAAGAAGAGGCGACTCTGTGCAACAAAGACTGGATTCTTTTACGAGGAATGAATCTGCTCTATCACCCGGCAACGGCTCCATGCAAGATCCGTTGGCTTCTCAAAAAGCGCGAGAACCGCTTTCGAAACCTAGACAGAGTTGTGATGCACCTACGAGCAAGCCAGCACCATCAAACCACAATGTACCTGCACCTTGGGTCGATGCTCCTGTTAGCAAGCCAGCACCATCAAACCACATTGTACCTGCACCTTGGGTCGATGCTCCCGTTAGCAAGCCATCCGTAACGCAGAGCTACAATGGCGGACCAGCACAGTGGATTGATGCGCCTATCAGTCGTCCTGCACCCCAGCAAGATGGCCCTGTGGTCGTGCCGCAGTATGATGCACCTGTGTCAGCAGTCAATGCTGGAGAGCGGCATGTACTTGTCAAGTGCAACGCTTCCTCACTAACCCTACCGGTGACACCCTCCACTACACCCAAAGATATTATCCATTCCGCCTCGTTGGCCATGTCAGAACCGATTGATTCGAGTCGCTCCAAACTGGTAGAATCATTTACCCAGCTCGGATTGGAGCGCCCGCTTCGCAACTATGAACATGTCCGCGATGTGATGAATTCATGGGACCACGACGCACAGAACAGTTTCATCATTCTACCTCTCGGAAATGATGGTCATGACGATCAGCTAGATCTGGCTGTTGTGCCGAAGCAGCAGCCTGGGGATACTTCTGTTTATATGTATCACTCACAGCGACCCAAGACGTGGGACAAGAGATGGATGACCTTGAGACCGGATGGCCAAGTGACAATTGCAAAGAGGCAAGGTCAAGAAACATCTAACATATGCCATCTCACTGATTTCGACATCTACACCCCAACTCCTGGGCAGCAGACCAAGAGGATCAGGCCCCCAAGGAAACTATGCTTCGCTATCAAATCGCAGCAGAAATCCAACATGTTTTTGAACGGGGCTAACTTTGTTCATTTTTTTGCGACGGGCGACCGGATGGTAGCTAAAGAATGGTACAAGGCTGTTCAAGGGTGGCGAAGCTGGTATCTGGTGAACGTCCTGGGCGAAGGTCAGACATCGAAGCGTGCATCCATGACCACCAACTCGGTTCGACCTGCCACTGCCAAAACGCAAAGAAGAGCCTCGATTGACGCGGCAACGTATCAAGCTGGTTCTTTCAAGCCAGCTGTAGATTTGGACCACGATGGTCTCCATCTCAGCGATCCTTCGCCAGCTCCGCGGGCAAGCAGATCTGCCGATGTGTTCCATGCTCGCAAAACCCTGAGTCGAGACAGAGCACCACCGCCGTCTGCATTCCTGAACAAGCTTAGTAAAGATGCCGAATCTGGTGCGCCCACGACAAATCACCAAAGGATGCCTTCGATAGCGAAGGGTCCTGTACCAGGCGAAGGCCATGATTCGACCTTTGCTCCCACCGGTCTACTCGGCAGAACATACAGCCAACGGCAGCGAGCACAGAGAGACAGAGAGATCAATGGTGGACGAACTCGATCCATGGCGTCGGTTGAGCCACCAACCGGCTTGACGCGCAAAGCCTCAACGAAATCAGTCCGGCAGATGCCAAAGCCCTTGATTGACCTTACACCTCAATACCAAGAACCACCGCAACATGTGAAAAAGGGGAGGGCAGTCATCCCGGAACCAGGACAGCAGCTAGTGGAGGTTGCGACTGGACTTGAGTTGCTGCCGGGCGCTATAATGACGCCAAGTGCCACAACATGGAGGCGACCACAGGCACAGTCGCCCCCACGCGAGAATTTGGGTAGGCCGAGGGGAAAGTCGATGCACACCGACCGACGGAGTATGACAATAGATGGAAACCGACCCAGACCGTCTATGGACACTGGTCGACCGCAAATGAATGACCACGGTGGCTTCCTGCAGGGCGGATTGCTCGCACGAACGCAGTCGAAACGCGCACAAGGCGACCGCTGGACGGGGCATGGCGTCAGGACCGGGGATCGAAATGCTGCAGACAAGCCCATGATTGACCTGCAATCCCCGAATCAGTTTGCAGATGGGAGTCTGTTGAGGCAGCTTGAGGCACACGCTGGTGGTGACGAGCCAGTGATCGACCGAGAGAAGCGGCGCGAGGAGACTGTCAGGGTAGGAGAGGGGGTGTGATAGTGTGCCCGCAACGGCATTTCTGGTATCCAGATATAGAATTCAGTCCGAACATTGTCCAAATCTGCTCTCTTTCCCAATCAGGCTGTTTGCGATCTGCGGGTGATTGGTCCTCCGTTGGACTGAGGCGGGAGATGCTGGGATCAGAGGGGGTTGCTGATGGAGGAGACAGAGATAAGGGGAGTGGGAGATGGAGATGGAGTTGGCTGCTCTGGCGTTGCTGGGTGCAGATCGAGAAGGGGAGAGGGAAAGACGATACTGTGTAGAGAATTTGATCGAGCGGGAAATGCACAGCCGAGATTCAGCCAGTGGAATCTGAGAGGCGTAGGGTATAGTGGCTATGGTGAGGTGGGCGGCTTGAGGGTTGAGTGATGGATGGATGGATGGATGGATGGATGGATGGATGGATGGATGGATGGATCAAGTACCGATTTACAATGGGACAGAGCCTTGGATTTTGCGCATCCTACACTCGAGCTGAAAGAGCAACATAGCCTTCTCGGCTCCGTGGGCTTTTTCACCGCTTCACCCCTTTCTTCCGGTCTACTTGAACATCTCATGCGAGATGGGGAAGCGCAACCTCCAAGCGTAACAACGTGATGATCCTCTGGAGGGGGAAAATCACGATCGAAGAACCAGTCTTCTGTGGATTTTTTGCTTCTAGTTCCAGTTTATCCTTCGTTGTCACCTGCGAAACAGCGAAGTCATGGTGTGTAGAGTGCATCCACGGACCTCAGTCTCTAGTGGTGGCTTGCAGGAGAGGTACAAAGCGTTGAAGAGGCGATGATGGTGTTTGGAACTTGATATTCATCCCGCCTCGAGTACAACCTTCTCGAATCTTCTCTGCTTTTGACATCTTTTTCGCAGGTTTGGGGGAGATTGGGGCAAGGGAATGGGTCATGACAGCTTTGTAGCGCTTCTTTTCTCCCTTCAGATCGTGAAAGGGAGAATGGGAATATATGGTTTGTGCGGACGCGTTGCTGGGCTGCTCTCTTCGCTGAGGCTAGGATGGGGAGAATGAAGGTAAAGAGAGTGAATGCAGAGATGTTGGTTCTCATCATTGCAGGCGGTCGTTTGGTTTGGTAGAACAGGGTATCCAATCGATTGCTGCACTGAGTGACTTTGAGTTTACAATGTAAGACATCTATTTTCGCTCAAGCTGCGACGTGCTACAACTAGATGTAATGTAGAATGAAAGCTATCAGTGGCTGGACGCCTCGTTGGCTTCTCAAAATGCCGTGAAAAGGTCTTGTGAGCTCGGTATTCTATACAAAGTGGTCCTGTTGATCAGAGTGCGTCAGGCGGCCAAAGTCTAGATCCGCAAGCATAAGATAACTGGAAATGTTTCAAAGCTCATTCTCGAATACAACAGCTGCTCTCGTGCAGGAGAAAAGGTTTGTAGCGAGTTGTTGTATGCCAGGTATCCCTTTCTCGTGCATTGGCTGAGAGGGCACAATAGCAGGTGACAAAGTGCCATTTGCTATTCCCGCTTTGTGGAATTCGAGTGAGAAGTTGAGAGGCGCCCTTCACGGGTTGCAGATAGGCTAAAATCGGAAACAGACTCGCATGATTTCGTGAATAAGATCGGATTCAACATGGAAGCCTCTGAGTATGAATGGGACGCTTGACGACAAGGGCCATCTCCATCTGAGCAGCTCGATCTGAAAGCCTGTTCCTGGGGGTGGAGATATTTCATGATCGAGACGGTACTGAGCACGCTGGAGAAATATTACCACTCCATTTCAGTGCATGTTAGCAACCTCGTCATACTATATGCTGACATTATCCTTCCAAACCACCTCCCTTTGACAACACATCAAGTCCGTATATGCCGAAGTCGTGTCTCCCCCAAGCAAAGGTGGGCCGCAAGTGGCATCCATGGAACCGGAGAATCCACGGAACGGTAGAAGAAACAAGCAAGTCCTCATAAAGAGGATCACCGGTACGAACAAGTGGAGTGATCGCAGCGCAAAATGGCGGCGTCAAGATCTTGGGCATGGTTCTCACGCAGCATGCCAACCAGTGTTCTCACGATCTGGTGGTCAGTGAAATCAATGCATGGTTTAGTAAAGAGACGCAGCCGTTAGCTGCTGTGTCACTGCAACTGGCCGGGGAGTTTGTTTCAACTGTCATATTAGCATCCGCATGGGCGGAGGAACAATTTCTTCTTGTGTACCGGAAGATTCTGCATGGCGCAGTATGTAGTAATGTGTCGGACCGAAATTGGTCGATTTTGAAAGCTCGAATAGGTATTGACATGTCAGGAAAAGTGTTTGCTTGGTCCTCGACCGTGGAGCTAAATACCCGCCCTGTCAGTCAATAACCAACCTTTCAGCTACGATCCACGTATTCTAGAATGAATCATGTCGAGGGAGATGCGATCGCAGTCGGTATATCCGTCGAGCATCGAGATGATTTTGTGTAGGATTTCAGTACTCTGCGTCAAAAGCGCCGTGTTACTGTTGGTATCCGAGTCCGATATTCTCGTCTTGCCATAGGATGGACCAGGAGGGGAGGCAGCACAGAATCTTGGGCCCGGAACATTGAGAGGAAGTCCTTCGTTGATAGCTGGCTATCTCCAATTTCATGCTGTGACTCGAGCAGGATCACGATGTCGAGTACACTGTGACTCCTTCACAAAGCTCGCTGCATTGACTTGGGAGTGGACAGTGGACGATGGACAAGGGACAGCGGACAGTGGATGTTGACCAGCTCGACGGTTGCTGGTTGCTGGTTTCTGGAGACTGCAGACGCAGACTGCAAGCTTTGGATCTTACAGGAACTAGTCTCTTTCATGAACATGGGCATGCAATCCATCACCCTGAAAACTAAGTTTGCAAGCTAACAAAAGCAATTTCGTAACCAAGAAATCTCACTCCCAAATCCCCCCCTCCCCCGTATTCAATACCAGCTCATTCCCCTACATATTTACATACTTATCTTGCTTCTCATATATTATACTTTGACCGCTCCCGTTGATTGAAAAAGGCCCAGCTCTGGAAGCTCGAGAGTTGTATGTATGTTGAGCAGCCAACGAGTCCGCTCTGAGCTTCCATTAGCCGCTGCGTTTCTCCTGAGTTCTGGGTCACCATAGTCTCTGACCTTCCCGTACCTCCTCGACTCGATAGATCTCACTCCATTGCTGATCAAGACATCGTCGAACCGAGTCTGGACCCGGGATTGTACAATAAAGTACACCATGTCCAACATGGCCAACACTGCTACACCTACTCCCAAGCTCGATAGATATGTGGTCATTCATGTGGCCACAACATGCGATGAACATGGCGTCTACGTAACGAAAGACTCAGCCGAGGTGATAGAGATAGGATGGATCTTGCTGGATACGAAGACGTGTGATGAGGTGCGAAGAGTAGGCGTTTTTTTCTGCCAAATCAGTGTGCTGATAGAAGTTTCCTTAGTTACATCGTGAAAGTGTTCTCGTCAAGCCAGTCAATACACCCATCACACCACTGTGCAGTCAGTTTTAGCTCCTTTCACAAACTCGATTCAGCTCCTAACCGATGTAGCGAGTCTGACAACCCTCACGTGGGAACACGTTCGAAATGCAGGTGCTTTCCGTGATGCAATTACCCGCTTTGACACGTTCGCCAACGAACACTTGATCTCGAAAAACCTCGAATTCTCCTTTGTCACGCTCGATTCGTGGGATCTCCGTGTCCAACTGCCCCGAGAAGCTCGCGACAAAGCCGTGGTCTTACCTCCGTATCTGCAACACTCCAGGACATATGACCTGCGTGCCGAATACGCAAAATGGCAGCAACACCATCCAGAGTCACTGCCATTTGGGCCCAGTTCTCTGGCCAATATTTGTGCGGCACTTGAGGTGGAACCTGTGCAATCTTCGGCCCCTATCAAGCATAACCTACCTTTCCACCTACAAGCTCTAGCGCCAGCATCTCCGCGTCGCGCGATGGAGGAGGCAATCACGCTTGCACGTGTGTTGCGTGGCCTGATTAGAAAGTCACAGCCCCAACACGATCATCCGGAGATACTGAGTCGACCCATGGATGCAAGAGCAGACGTGAGAGCTTTCCTTTCCGAACGCAGCAAGGTCTTGCACATGAATGGTCTGCCGCATGACACTACCCAATCTGAACTTGAAAGCTGGTTCACACAGTACGGAGGCCGACCTATCGCCTTCTGGACCCTACGTACCCCTGATCAGCATAAGCCTACAGGATCCGGGTTCGCTGTTTTTTCATCGCATGAAGAGGTAAGCTTGGGTCATAGCAAACTTGTCGTATGGTTTTTGTTGATACTCTTTAGGCCGCTGAAAGTCTGTGCATGAATGGGAGAGCGCTCAACGAGAAAGCTATCGAAGTTTCGCCATCTTCCAGTCGTGTACTTGATCGAGCTGCTGAAATTCTCTGTGCATTTCCCCCCAGTAAAAACCGACCTCGTCCGGGTGACTGGACATGCCCTGGTTGTGGCTTTTCGAACTTTCAACGTCGGACTGCCTGTTTTCGTTGCTCGTTCCCTGCCTCCGGTGCTGCCCCCAGCGACCCCATGGGTGGTTATGGAGCTTATGGCTATGGTCCGCCGAATATGATGCCGCATCATCACATAGGTGGCCATCACGGCCATGGGATGGGTCATGGACGAGGTGGAGGTCCGGTCCCGTTCCGAGCTGGTGATTGGAAGTGTGGTTCAGAGGGTTGTGAATATCACAATTTCGCAAAGAATGTCAACTGCCTACGGTGTGGAGCACCCCGTTCAAGCGCTGCAGTTGTTGCAGACTCTGCTTTTCCGCCCACAATGCATCAACCGGGTGGGTACGGCATGGGACCAAATTCTGGTATGGGTCCTGGATCAATTGGCAATACACCCGGTCCCGGTCCTTTTGCAGTGGGCGCGGGTGGCTTTGGACCAGGAGCTGGATTCGGGCAACAATTCGGTGGACCACCACCAAGTCAATACGCTTTACCTTCAGGTCTGGGTGCACCAACTGCTGGGTATGGTCCCCCAATGGGCGCAATGACGCCAAACTACACTCCCAGCAATATGGCTCACTCTTCCTTCGGTAATCCTGCAGCACAGGCAGCATTTACTGGCGCTGACAGCCAGCCTCAATCAGCCGGCGGACATAATGGATTCTACAATAACGAAGGTGCCGATCCATTTGCATTCTTGAATAGTGGTCTAGGTGGTCTTAGTATCAACGACGATCAAACTCGGAGAAATGGAAATGCAAACGCCGCCAAATCTCCGTCGTGATTTCGGTACGAATGACGTTTCTTTCAGCCCATCTCACCTTATTGGAGGTCTTATACAGAGTTTTACGAGGTGGTAGCAGCAGGCCAGATCCCTCTCTCTGCGCAGGAGCTTACACCACGTTGCGCGCGGATATGTGTCTGGGATGAACGATGAAGTGCTGAGAGCATGGACATAGACAAAGGCATGTGTGCATAGCGGTTCAGGCTTGGGGACCACATAAAATGTGCTCTGTTGTTAGCGTGGTGTTGGCTCGGTGAATGGGATGAACATGATTGAAATTGGCTGGAGAAAGAAAAGGCTGTACGGGGTGGAGAAACGAGGAGACTGACTGGCTATGCATGTCAGACACTTTACATATTCTGCTTCTACTCACATTACATCGCTCTCTACCATTTCCTTCCAAGCTTTCTTCTGCCTGAAGCCATACGAGCACAAAATTCTCTATGTCTGCTAGTGGTCACATTCTGGCGATACTTCACTTGCAACGCTCGATAGATGCATGAGGTGTAGTGTTGGCATTGTTCTAATTGGTTGACCTCGGGGCTTGACCCCTGAAGAATGACAGACAATGCAAGTTGGGGGCGCTTGTGAAGACAAACAATGAATTGAGTCAGTCATGGCCCCCAATATAGATGCGCCGCTTGATGCGATCTCTCTCCGTCTTTCAATTCTTGCAACTCGTTTTCTACTTGATATCTTTCGATCCCTTTCGACGACTTGTTCATCATGTACGCGAGTTGATGCCGGCTGCTACACCTACTACGTACAGGGTCTGCTGTGCTTGGAGGATTAAGATTTGGGCACGGACAATATTATTTATTTAAAGCTCAGGGAGTCAGGGTCGGAGTCAAAAGGACTGTGCCCCGCAAATAGCATTCCCCATTCTCCCCACATATCAACCCTCGGAGCAGGACTTCTTTCTCCTGGCCTCCCTGGCGTCGCAAGACCTCGACACACTCTTGGGTGACTGCCAATGACGGCCATGAAGTTCCTGAAGCATATTAGGTCAAAGTCCAAGGTCAAGGAAAAGGAAAAGGAAAAGGAGAAAGCCCAGCCCCAAGGTTATGCATCACAGTATGCCCCTCGCTCTGGAAGGGATACCACAGCTCGTCTGCCACCTGCAATACTGCAAAGAATCTTCCTAGCGGTGTGTCCACTCACTGCTGATGACAGCTATGATTCATCGGAGGAGTCATTGATCGATTATGGCTGCGCGCTGTGTGATCTGAAGGATCTAGCGCAGTGTGCAATGGTTTCGAGGAAGTGGTGGAATGTTGCACAAGATCTGCTGTATGGTATTCCTCTTGGCCCTCCATTAATACGACTGACGGTATACTTCGTACAGATATCGGAATATTCGCATCGAACCAGTGCACTACTGTGAGCGAGAATATGAACTGGCCGAAAAGCGAAAGCACAAGTCCTTCTTTGATCGCAATGCCGATCCCACAGATGCTCCCCGCGGGCGACTTCTGTTACTCATGCGAACACTCAGGGAGAACTCGGTCTTGGCGTCAAGAGTCGTCTCTTTACGGTTACCATACATGACACGTGAAGGGTCGAAGGCCGAACTCGCGAGAACCGTAGCTGTGCTACCGAACCTCCGTTACGTTGACGTTCCGGAGGGCTTCTACAGCGATGACATATCCTCAACTGCGCTAAAGCAGGAACTGCAGGTGTCATGTCCAGAGATTCGACGGATGAAATATAATCATGGGTCAGAAAGAAGCCTGATGCAGATCCCGCGGCAACGGATCTGGCAAAATCTCGAGATACTTGAGCTCTGCGGCCTGCAACTTGAGATTGAAGATCTCTTGGTTGTTCTGGGGTCTTTCTCTTCGTTGCAGGACCTGAAGCTTGTCGACCTTCCCTGGCTTGACGACAGTGTCTTCCGGCCATCATCACAGACCCTCCCCTTGTTCCCTCCTGTCAAACATCTCACTCTACAAGATACGCCTCGAGTCCATGCTGGAGGACTGGCTACATATCTCTCTCAAGTACAGAACAGGGAGGCTTTGACACAGCTTTCCTTGTCCTCGACTGGTGTGCAGCCTCAACAACTCCATCATGTTCTTTCACGAGCGCCTTACCTTGAATCTCTTTCGATCCTTAAGGCGGTGGAGCGTCCATTCCCCGTTGACCCTCCAAGTCGTCCATTGGCGTCTCAATCCCTTAGGCATCTTCACTATGAGATCACCTCCGCTCTTTCAGCCCGCTTTGGTGGACAACCGCCTACAGCTTCGTATTATACTTATCTTATGTCCTCCCTGCTCGCCCAGCCACCTCTGCTTCCGAATCTTACCGAACTGTACGTCCGCGACCCCAATTTCGCCGAAACGCTTCTTCTCGCTCCACCGTCCCGTCCCTTCTCACCTGTTAAACCTACTTTCACGTTCTCACAACCTTTATCGGTATTCAGCAAAGGCGCTAAAGAGCTAGAATGGAATTTCACGTCGGTCACCCCTCCCGCTACAGGTCACCAGAAAAAAGGCAGCATATCGACGAGGCCAGTAAGTTTGATGGGGGCGGAGAGTCTGAGTCCGGCTTGGGTTGGTGGAGCAAGGATGAGTGTTGTGGTGGGCGATGGTTCTGGTGGGTTTCTTGCAGTACCAAATGACGAAGCAGCCAGGCCTGGAAGTCGCGGGTCGATTACCAGCAATGGAGATATGGGCAGGGAACGAAGGAACCTATGGCGTTAATGTCAAGACTACCGACATCTGTAAGGCGTGTGAGCTTCCTGCTCAAGACTATCTAGGGGTATTGGTGAACATGGATGGTTAACATTTGGAAGGGCTGACAGGGGCGCTTTTTCAGACAGCTTGGAAACAACTCACGTTATGTTACACAGATGAAAAATACATAAACGTAATGCAGGAGCGGGACATCTGACAGCTCATCGATATATGCACGATAAACCCCCCCAGAACTGGCCGCGGAAATAGAATAGACGACTTGTGGGCGCACGGTCCGGAGCGGCACTAGAAGCTGATCTTCTAGCTTTATCTGAAATAGTGCTTTCAGTTTAGTCATGTAGTACTAGTAGTAGTTGGTGCAGCTTGCAAGTCCTGTTGCCCGTTTCCAGCGCCATAGCCATACGGACCACATGCACATATCGCTTCTATCTTGATGCTCCTCTTTGGCTATAGCCCTTTGCTGGGAGATACATACTATGGGCAATCTGAGTGTCTTTGTTGACATTTCCAGTGACGTTGCAACACTGACCGTGTCGTCAATCAAGCGAAGACTGTTGACAGTAGCACTCTCAGCCCGTTTTTTGAGACCCTCATTTGCCAGATATGATATGCCTGTTGAGGCGCTTATAAATTCAAATTCTCCAAATCGAGGCTCGCGACATCTATATCATCTCTGTTAAGCACAGAACATGCATGCCTACAATCACATAGTAGTGTTTGAGTGCACAAAGCCGTTCCATATCACCATGTGTTTTCGATCAACGAATACACCCTATAGCAGAGCGAGCTACCCACGCTGCTTCTGCGAGGTCTTTCAGTTCGGTTACTTGTCTCTGCGGGGGTAGCAAACACCATCCTGTGGATCGACAGGAATGGCACAAAGAAAAGTGCTATCCAAGAATCGCTGTTGCATTACATCCATAGCATGCTTGCTTGTAGATTTGGAAATGCTGTTGGAGCAACTGGTTTCACCAAAACCGCATTGGTAGAGCGACAAGGTGGTCAGCAAGAACTTTTCATATGAGAAATGCAGGTTAAGGTTGGGTGGTTGGGATGATGGCGAAGGAAGATGGGTCCAGAGTAGGCATTCACGTCGGCAGGCCCGGAAAGAGAAGTCCCTAATAGTTAGTCAAGTTCGGCAGACATCACGATGATGTGAGAGCGATCCATTAAGTTTGTCAAGTATTTTTAAATATCCTTTTGATGCTCTGTTGGTTTTGGTAGCGCTACACTAAACCAAGCCCACGCCTCCAATCTCTAGATAAGATTAGATCTTCGCCAAGAACTGACGCGATCTCCGTTGTTCCGTCTTTTCTAATCTTTGAGATATATGTCCCGATTTGTCATTCCCTACTCTGTAGCATTTATTTTCACTTGGCCCTTCCCTCTCACCTCCTCCTCACCTCGCATATCTTTCTTGGGATAGTTTCACCATGTTCCGCCAACCCTTCCGCCGCTTCGCCACCACAGCCCTCCGCAGCGGCCGAGTCGCTGAACCCTTATGGCCTACGCGTCTCCTCCGCGCAGGGTGTGGTTGAATCTCTCACTGGCGCCATTGGCAGTACTCCCCTCATAAAATTGCAGAAATTATCCGACGAAACATCTTGCAGCGTACTCGGGAAAGCGGAATTTCAGAACCCAGGCGGTAGTGTCAAGGATCGTGCTGCGCTGTATGTGGTCAAAGATGCGGAGGAGAGAGGGTTGTTGAAGCCGGGTGGGACGGTCGTAGAGGGTACGGCTGGAAATACTGGGATTGGGCTTGCGCATGTGTGTAGGAGCAGGGGTTATAAACTGGTTATATATATGCCGGATACTCAGTCTCAAGGGAAGGTGGATCTGCTCCGGTTGCTGGGTGCAGAAGTCTATCCTGTGCCGGCGGTGGCTTGGGAAAATAGCGATAATTACAATTGGCAGGCCAAGCGGCATGCGGAACGGGTAGCCAAGGAAGATGAAGCTGGCGCAGTGTGGACGAATCAATTCGATAATGTGGCCAACCGGAGGGCACACGTGGAGACAACGGGCCCGGAAATCTGGGCACAGACGAAAGGGAAGGTTGATGCCTTCACTTGCGCAACGGGTACGGGGGGAACATTGGCGGGCGTGACGAGATATCTCAAGGATGTGAGTGGCGGGAAGGTTAGGTGTTACCTGGCAGATCCACCTGGGAGTGTGCTGCATAGTTATGTGACGAGTGGGGGCAAGCTAAAAGAGAGGACAGGCGGATCAATTACTGAGGGCATCGGTCAGGGCAGAGTTACGGACAATCTCGCGCAAGAGGTAGGAGAGTTGGACGGAGCAGTGCATATCTCAGACGAGAAGAGCATTGAGATGGTGTATCGATGCCTCGACGAGGAAGGTTTATACCTGGGCGCAAGCTCGGCGCTGAACGTGGTCGCCGCGAAAGAAGTCGCAGAGAGGCTTGGACCTGGTCATACGGTGGTGACAATGCTGTGTGATGGAGCATACCGATACGCCGACAGGCTCTTCTCAGGCAAATGGCTGGAAAGCAAGGGCCTGAGAGGAGCGATACCCAAAAAATTACAAAAGTATATTGTGCTGCCTTGACCAGGTGAGCATTCATATTGAACATATCTTTGCACAGATAGTCTATAGATATAAAACAAGAGATTAACATGCACGGTACATCCGAGTTTCTGTCGTTCACTTCTTCTAGACTGCTTCGGCTGATGACGCTACATGTTGAGCAGACTTCAAGCACAGCATGGCATTGACATTTGGCTACTACTAGAAGAGTAGTACCCTACAACTATGCCATGACTTCTTCTGGATCCCTAACTTCCCTCTTTAGGCAATTCTTTATAGGACATTCTGCTTCGCAATTTCTTGGACGACTCTTCCATCGTCTTGATGCTGCGGTATATCCTCACTTCTGCAACTACTGCATCACCCACCATGATCATTGTAGTCACTTCGTTATCTGTACGCCCTCTCTAGCAAATAGCCCTTTCACTACCCCTGCCGAGCGAACTGACTACTCAAGCGAGTATTTTCCCCCTTCAATAACTCCAAGTCACTGAAATCACAATTCAATAAGTAAAACTCTACATTGCATCCACCAGATTTAAGTCCAAGTTTGGTGAAGCAAGGCCCTCGTGTGAATCGGAGACGGGTATAAGTATGTGTCATTCTCCACTTTTGAAGCTAAGGATTTTCCCTTTCATTTACAATTTATCTTCTCTAAAATATTCTTGGCGGACTGTCCTTTCATCCTCTTTCGTTGCTTTTTGCCATGCTTGCTTTGTTGCCTTCATATATACACACGTTTCAAACCCCCTTCATAAAACTCATCAGTCATGGAAACTGGATCTATTTGAGATAGGAACCTTGTTTTCCTGCTCCTTTTATGACATCCTTATTCCTTTAACACGCGATGCATGGTGAACAATGCGGTAGATCCTATGTCGCTGCTGCATCCCTATGGCTATGGTATTTCGTGCCCTTGCTGCTGAAGGATTTCATGCTGCTGCGGTGGGTGCGCTTCTCAATCGATCCACTTTTGGCAACTTTTGGTCTTTATCTATATATATTACATGCTGTGGATCGTTTCCCCACTCCTCAGTCTCAGACCACTTCAAGCTGTGTCAGTCGCTGTAACACCTGCCGACAACAGCAATACAGGAAGCAGCAGCAATAACAACAAAATCAACCACCAAACAACATGCCGCCCGATCCGCGCCCGCGCCTATCCTGAGATACGTGCATGTCTTCCGGCTTTGGGTCTCTCCCTTATGGGAGATCGCTCAATGGCAGCGTAAAACATCATCTTACTGATCGTTATTGATATCAATATTTAGCAATCCGGAAAAGCGCCAATGACCTCCGGCAAAAAAGGCTTAGCGACCGGACTGCAAACCGAGGATTGGAATCCATCACCAAATTTATCGCAACAGCCACGGCTGATATATAATAGATTCGTTCCCATGGTTGACAGCCGGTTGTCAAACATAGCTACACCCCACGCATGTTTGTCCAGCGATCAAAGAACATGGCGTTCTGCGAAGACCCGAATAGGAAGGACTTCCATTTCGACCAATCGACGCCTGCTAGTCCCCCACCAGTCCCGCAACGACTTATGCTGGTGGTTCTGTCTTCTGTTCCGAGCTTCTGCCATGAAATTCAGACGGGAAGGCGTGTTCTTGGTGTTGATTTTTAAAGAACTCTTCTTTATCTTCGAATAAAGCCATTCGATGCTTGTCCTTTCTCACGATAGAGATTATTACATGAAATGCTAAGCGTCATAGGGCAAGACTTGGGCAGCGCAAAAGTGGGCGGAAAACCACGTGCACACGATGTCCATGGTCCTGCTCCGCAATTTCATGACAGAGCTCCAGACATTCTCGGACCGTTCAGCTTCAGTGTCCGAATCGCACTGAAGTCAAGAATGGACAACACTGGACATGGAACATTCGCTCCATGCCAGCCAGCACGTCCAGTCGTATTGTTCTGGATGTCTAATCGGCTTTTGGTCTATTCGCATGCTGAAATTTGGCAAAGGAAAGTATTCAATGGCCAACAAGATGGCGTATGGCCAAAGAAGAAGATGAATCTCCATCTTCAGAAGTTGTCAGTCGCAGCTTATGATCTAGACAAGAATTTGGATGCCACTCCGTCTGCACACGAAGCATGCTTATGAGCCCCCACCTTTCCTCGTGGTAAGGGCCTCATCCTATGCCCCCGAGTATTTCGAGGCGATTTCGATCTACATGCACCCAGTTCTGTTTGAATTTCACACGATCGAGGTGCATCAGTTCATCTATTTGTCGCATTTTCAAAGGCCTGGAGATTGTTCAGGGCAAGACATGGCACGCTATGCCAGCTCCATGCGAGAAGCTATTCCGATTGAGTGAATGCCGAGAAGGTCATTCTCATTGTCGGGTATTAGCTCAAAATACCTGGCGCAACATCTGTCGAGTTCGTGACGCTGACCAGGCATGAAATACCAACGAGAGAACGCAGCTTATCTGGCTAAAACCATCCTAAACACTGAAGCTAACATTATCTGTGTGGTCATCTCATTTTCTGGGTAGACCCGCTCTGGCGGCACCCTTACAAAACGAGCAGCGAAGCAATCGGCAGTCTCGTCGATTATGAAGACCTCATTCGCAACGCATATCTAGGCCCACCAGAATACACGAACAACAAGGTAAAGGATGACGAGATCGACTAAGAGCGAGTAAAAAAGGTTGCGGACCGAAGCTTGGCGCCAAAATTTATGGCAGTTAAGGATCCTCCTCCTCTACACCCCCTGCCTTCTACTACTTACTATTCCACCACCGCAAGTCAGAATCAACTCCAAAATGGCTAGAGAGCTCCCCCGTCGCCGCCGTGCCCCTGCAGATGGCGTTTATTCGAATCCTCCCTCTCCTCAGGCTCCCAGGGCCCCCCAAACGATGCTTGATACACCGCGCCGTGCGCGCCTCCTTGCCGACGCACGTCTTACAGCTGGCAAATTACCTCGTACGCAGCTATTTAAGATACATAATGTAGCCAATCGAACTGGCTATCGAGTCATTAAAGAAGGAACTGCGCGCCGCAGCGAGAGGGTGCACAATCGCGGCTGAAAACCAGTTCTTGCTCCCCATTAGTGCGAAGCAATTAAGGCAGTTGAAGATGTAAATTTTGGCTTTGCATCGTCAAGCCACTTCAAGGTGGCACAGACCATTAGCCTAGCTAAAGGCTCTGAACGTGCAATTCAAAGAAATATGGCCAATTCTGGTGTGGGAATATATCGCGTATTGCAGAAGAAATGACTACCAGCACACTTAATTAAAGCACATAATCTTTAAGCATTTAAGCACTACTATCATAATCTAGAAGACTTCAAAAAGTATCAGTGGTATAATGAGTCTTACTTTACTACTGGCCTTCAACAACAAGCCCTAATTTATCGTCGCCGTAGCCAGAAAAATCAAGAAAAGCTTTCAAAAACCCAATACAAACTCAAGCGCAAAAATCAGACCATCCATATCTATATAATCATCAGCTGGAACTTCAAGGGCACCCTCCACTTCTACACAGGCACAGGGAAAGGCAGGCGACTTATCCAAGCTGATTATGTCAAGATTTTAGAGGAGGTTGTTACTCCAGAATGAGACTAAAATCTTATTCTGATCGAAGATAACGATGGACCACATGGCACAAAGGGTGTTGCCAATAACAAGGTTAAGCAAGCAAAAATCAAGCTTAACATCAAATGGCAAGCTCAGCCTTCCAATTCGCCAGATCTCAATCCCATTGAGACCATTTGGAGGATAATAAAGCAGCGTTTAAAGTCCAGGGGGGTCATCTTCCAAACTGAGACGCTGAAGGCTGCTATCCAAGAGGAATGGGATAAAATCACTATTGAGGAGATCAACAATGCCATCTCTACCATGCCAGATAGAGTAACTTGTTTGCAAGAGCGTTTTGGGAAGGCCATACCCTGTTAGAGGGGGGTAGATAGAAATGCAGAATCCTTAACTGCCATAAATTTTGGCGCCAAGCTTCGGACTTTCTGAACTCTGGCCGAAGCAGGTCAGAAAGACATACTATGAATGGAACAAATTCAAGCAGAACGTCAGTTAAAAAAAAGGGTGCTTATTGGTGCGGAAGCTGATTGCGTCGCAGGAGCTCAACTTGCACTATAAGGAAAATAAAAACCGATATCTGGCGCCTTATGTCAAGCAACAAGATCACCACATATACCGGAGCCGTTTTCAAAACGAGCTGTGGTTCGATTTGCTGGACACTGTGATTGATTGGTTCGGAGCGGACAAGTTTAAGGATGTCATGGCATATTACCGAAAGGAAGATCGACTGGTCAGATAAACGCGTGTTATTGACGTATCGAAAGGCTAACCAGGCACTATGATATGATCAAGATGGACGAAGTCACTCTGGAGCAAGAGGTGTCTGACCATCTGCGAAAAATCCGACGACACACCAACGTAGTCCCGGGACTCCATAAATCTGATATCTACCAGCGCCCTGCCCTTATCACAGTGGTCGCCATAGAACTAGACCACAGCATTTGCCGACCAAGCGCCAAGAACAAGCGGAGTCGCTGCATTTCTGCTACATGTCGCTTCGATAGAGGCTCAGAGCATTGGTGATTCTGCAAATCCGGTTTATGTTCGCTGGCGCAATGGTACCACGTGCCATGAAGATATGGGAAAGCCAAAGGAAGAGCTTATTAGAACTGATTATGATCATGGCTATGTTCGAGAAGAAGATGCCGGCAGCCTCCTCTATCGACACGTTGAAATCAATCTGGAGCATTCCATGACTCGCGCAGGGCAAAAACCCAAAGGCAAAGGTAATCTCTTTGCAATAAATGCGTTTATTCATCTATTGAGTGAGCTGCCGACCCAACTCAGGAAAGCGTAAAGAGTTGAGCGATCCATTCGCGCTATCAGATGATGATGGTGCACCGGAGACTCCTGGGAATGGAAGAGAAAACGGGAAACGTGGAAGGAGGTCCAGCGCGAATGGGAGTATCAATTTCTGCTACATGGCTGCGGCAGCTATTTTCCCCCAAAAAGTCTGACCCAGCATCGGCACTCGGCAACATGAAACAGGCAGCGTTTGATGAAATTGAGTAAGGAGCTCTTTGAAGGGACATTTATTCGGGAGCAGCATAATCCACGGAATTCAATCTAGCAGCATGGACAGACTTACCCGACCAACTCACACAAGACGATGGGCACCGGAACTGAGGGGTGAAGCGAAGCTATCGACAGGAAGTAAGGGGCAGCAATGGCAGTATGGAATAGGAGCAGATGTGATATGGAGTATTAACTAGTAAAGGTACCAGGGGTCAACAGCCATAGCTAGACCAAGATTTTCAGGAAACAAGAAGGCCAATCCGAGCAGCAAAGTTACCAATATCTGATATCATGCGAGCAGTACCACCGAAACCAGGAGACAACAGCCATAAGCGAAACAGCAAGCTCAGAAGAAGCTAATATCACATTCACCGGTGCGAGTTCAATGGGAAGCGAAACGACCGACAATTCGTGTTACCTGGCATACCATTTGAGTACCGCCGCATCGGCTTTCTGCGTTTCTGTCCGGACAATACTTACTTGGAGATTTTTCGATGGCTGTACAATAGCAATGATCTTCCCATCTACAACTACGCCACTGTCGAGCGAGAAATCAATGTCGGCCGCATCCTGTTCTACCTCCTTGGGCACGTCATCTTCTGGGCGTTGCAACCCCACTTATGTACCAGATGGACTTCGGCTCATATGCTTTTTCGCAGATACCTTCGACTTTGCGAGTTTCCAAGAGTAAGATCGAAAAAAAATCAACCTTGAAAACGATATTAGATATTCGTACGAGCATCTTTGACATCGCCGAAATGACCATCTGGAGCATTGTGGCTTGGTAATCAGACGGTCGTGTACTAATCCAGTCAAATCAAATTAATCAAATTGGGTCTTGGCAGAAAAGTTGTTTATTTTGGCATATTTTGGCTTATTCTTGTTGAAAAAGTAAAGAGTCTTGGCGGACTCCTTTGCGAGATGGAAATCCTTGAAAGGTTATCCTAACAAAATTATTGCTTACTAAGATTTGACTTCGTTTGACAAATGAATCAAATGAACCAAATCGGCGCTAAATTTGGTTCATTTGATTTGATGGATACCCTGATTATTATTATTCAGACCTCTCCGTATGTGTCACGGTCCGCAATGGGTCTCAGTCACAACAATATAGAGCTTCCATCAGACAAGTGCTCAGACTTGATGTCTTCCCCTGGTGGGCTCTGCTTTCCTTCCGAAAATCTTATTCCATGTCTCTTGGAGCATTTGGATCCTCGAAAAGAACTTCGTCAGACATGTGACGGAAAGAGAATTCTCAACTTGACAGATCTCGCTCCATATATACATCATATGCGTGAGACTTTGCTGTTACTAGGGTTATCAGATCCATCAGATCCATCAGATCCATCAGATCGATCCATCACACCGCCAATGGCGATGCTTGTTCATGGTATGGTATCGCTGCTCTTGTTTCCAGTGGCTTGAGCCTATGCTGCAGCTGATTCAGTATCTCAGCTGTGACGTCTCAGGGCCGATTTGCGTGGCTGGGAGGGAGAAGAACCGTCACATTTTGCTTTGGCGCAATCCGAGTGCCGGCAAAGTCCTGTGGCAATCCCGGACGTCATTTACATGTAAAGAGTGTGTTAGGATCCTAGGGGAGTGCAAGGGCAATAGAACAGCAGGGTGTCAATGGAATGACTTATTGAGCGCAGAGAACTAGAATCTATCTAGAGAGAGGAGAGATCTAAACACCAAGAGACCTCTGTGCGCATGGAAGAACGTAGAACCTTCTTAACAGCTGCCAAATAAGATAGCTGTCAAACAAGGAAACTTTCAAACAAGGGAGCTGCTACACAAGGAAGCTGCCGCAGAAGGAAGCTGCTGGACAAGGGAATGATGTAGGATCTATCAGAGTCCTCCTGGCCCTCATAACGTGCACTATGCTTGGCGGTCATAATAGAGTGTCTGAAGATTGGGAATCGCACTATGCAAATGTTACAAAGAGTACTATACAGTGGATCGAATTGAATCAAATCGAGTCGGATAAACCAACCCAATGCTTGGCAAAGGAACCAAATCAGCCAGTGGAAGTCTTGACTAAAATACTTATCCAGGGTTAGTAATTCTGCAACATCTATTAAGCCATCAGATAAGCAGATCGCTCAAGGCGAGACAGCGGGAACACATTAAACTACAACAAATAGCCCAAGTGATATCTTCAATGAATAAACACTGAGAGTTAGTCCTCTTGAGGCCACCGACACGTTCCATCATTCCACGCAGGTTTCGCCATTTAAATGCAGTCATACCGCAGCCTGTGCGCCCTTTTCAAGTTATTTCTACCTTAATTAGAGTTCCTGCTCAAGCTTTAATTCTGCCTTCAAATAAAAGGTTTTCTAAGCCCCATCTCCAGATATGAATGTTGTTTCTCTAGCGCTCTTTCAGACTTCCAAGAACGGCAAGAAGAGCAACAATGGCTGGCGATTCCAGATTAGCCCTTCGACCTCACTTATTCACAGAAGACCTGGGCCGAAAACATGGATAAAGATGGGATGGGAAATCTTACCACCAGCTGTAGTCACAACGTATGAAGAAATAGTCCATGCGGTGCTCACATCTCCAGTTTTAAGCATGTAGAGCATTCCAGTTCCGAAACTGAAGAGGACGGGAAACAACACCAGCACCGAGAGGCGGACAGGGGACCAGTTGTAAACCAATTCGAGCGAGTACTTGCCCTCGATAGGTTCATTGTTCGCATTTAGGTTCTTTTGAACCCACGCCGTCCAGGCGTTGCTGACGTCTTTGTCTGGATGCCATCGCGACGTTTGATAAGCGCGGAAGAAATGCGATAGCGTGCTCGCGTGTTGATTAGATAGACTGAGCTTGACGTGAGCGCCTCGAGGTATATCACACTGTATAACTCCTCATAAGTTAAGCAAAGAAGCTGTCAGGTAGCTGGAAAAGTGGAAAGAGGGAATGCACCTTGTAAAGGCCAAAGCGGCACAGAGACTTCAGCGATATGTATTCACGCCAGCCCCTGATGAATTTCACCCTCTTTCGTATTTGCTTGAACAAGTTTTCGTCATCCTCGAGTGTTATAAGTCTCTCGTTTGGATCGGTGGAACCTTTAGCAAACCAGCCAATTATAAGAAAGGGCGACGATGTACCATCTGCTGGTTGCTGCTTGCCAGATTCGTGAGATCTGGATCTCAGCAATTCGCGAATCAAGTTATCGAATTCTTTGCGGTCAAGTCTTAACGCATCAGAAAGTCCACTTTGCGGCTTTGTCTCTTTAGCCTGTGTTTGCTCTACAGCAGACACAAGCTTTGCAGGCTCCTGCGACGTTTCTGGTATTCTCGTGTGGCCTGCTGAGGACGCCGGAAGATTCTGCTCATCATCCCTGGTTGTTTGGCATAAGAACAGTAACGAGTTGGCGGAGAACTTACGTTTTGAGTGCACGATCTGTGTGATACTGGGTCTCTTGATCTTGCCTCGACATTTCTTGCGGAGCAGACTGACCGTCTTTGTCTGGGACAAATAGCTTCAACAGCTTTGTGAGTGTCTCTAAAGTATGCATGCGTTCCTGCACAAACTCGCGGTGATTCTGAGAGGTCGAAAAAGTTGTGAGAAAGATCGCGAAACTTGCCCAAACTGGCGAAACTGTGGGACTGGATTGGATCACCACATCCATGACGGACAAGGGCCCGCGCGCTATGTCCAATAATGGCTTGAGCCAACGACTGCTTCCCATACCTGTGGGCTCTGCAATAGATCCCAGTGTGGCTGCCGCAAATTCTAGGACATAATGTTGAAACTCTTGTATGTCACCATCCGTTTGATAGACACGATATGCCGCTTGTATTGCCATAGCTTCGCCAACGGTGAGCCCACTGCGTCGTGCACATTGCTTCTCTGCCCATATCCAGTTGCCGTAGCCTGGCTTTTGGACAGATGGAATTCCATCCAACCAGACCTCCTCCTCCGTCTTGGGTGTTTGGTCAGGCTTGGTGATGAGAGGCGCATTTACACCCTCGAGATCGGTGGGCGGGTTCTCAATATCAACAGGGTGATCGTCGTCATTCGACATGCTGTTGAAAGTTTCCGGATCTGTTGCAGATCTTAGGTTTTTTTTTTGAGAGGGAAGAGCGGTTGCCCGAGAGAGCTTATTGTTGCTCGGTATCTTTCAGCCAGGGAGCAGGAGTTCTAATGAAAGCTGAGCCGAAGTTCAGCCGGAGAGTGAGGGTGCTTATGTAAATCTCCATGCGCTAACCCGAGTAGACGGAGGAGGTGATCATTTGTAGTTGGCTAATAGTGCTAACGAGATTAACTCTATTATTTATTAAATACTATATAATTGTTACAGCACGTGAACACACTAGGCACCGACTGGCCTTGGAGGCTGCACGGACCCTGTGTGAGGAGACCCTGGAACTAACTAAGCCCGAGGGGCTTGGCGAAAAGACACGCTCATGCGGAGACAACCTTGAGCAAGGTGTTCATGAGGAGGGACTGATGAGCAACGCTCAGAAGTGATCATGCCTGATCACTCATGAGCACGAATCTCCTAGTCTATATAAGCACGCTTATTTCCCAGATAGTTTCCTAGTCTGGGTAGTCAACTCATGTTATTAGCTCATACCTAGCTTGAAGACATTCAGAAGTACCTTCTATTGTACCCCCTGTTCTACCCAACCAGCCCACTTGGACCCAACCTGTAGTTGAGACTCGTCTTGACAAGTTGAGCCCTAACAAAATACTAAATATCTTATTGGTGACACTAAAAAGCATGTAACACAAAACTAAAGAGGATCTACAGATATACCTAGGAGGTTGTATTATTAAAAAACTAAGCTAGAAAGTAATCCCGAAGCCGGGTTTTATCCTAGTAATAGGAACGCAAACTGCCAAGTTTACTAGCTCACTCCTACTGAGAGACTCGCTCGGTTCTAATCCGCAGTTACCAAGATCGATAGTTACTCAGATGAGAAGTTACCAGATCAGTTCCGGTCCGTAATAAGGTTCTTCCTTTGTACCTGCCCAAGGTCGCATCCTAATAACCCGACCTGGTTGTCAGAATCCCTGCGTATATGATACGTATCTGTTACGTATTAGCATGATGGTACAAGGGTCCCCGCATGCAAAACGCACGAAACGCTCTTGTAACTGTTACGCCCTGTTATTTATGGCAGTGAGCATTGCTATACGAATTGAACGCCAAATGCTGTTTCTGAGCTGTTACAGTAATGCGCTTCTATAGCTATTAGTATGAGCAAATGCTCCTCTTGATAGGAGTAACTCAATCAAGTGAATTGGCACCTCCGTACGCTGTTTGCTACTACTTCTAACACTGGTGCCTTAATGACACGCGTGGGAGCTTTGAGGATGAGCATCTGGACTTCTACTAGTAGTAGGTACCCAAGAAAGACGCTAAAAACAAGACCAACAGCACTGGGACGCCTAAGAAATTGGTACAGACGTCTTAACATACATCTAGTCCAAAATCTATATAAAAACATGTCGCTAAAGCCCAGAGGCATGATAATAACAGCACACTTCACTCACATTTGATCTTGTCTTCTGTTCGCTGTTCTTACGTCTATCAGACGTGCGGAGTTTGATATCCTGGTAGCTTTGTCATGGGGACCGGTTCTCTGTGAAACGATACCTACAACTTTTTCGTACGGTGCTTGGAACGACTTCAATGGAGCACGGCTGCCCAGCTTTTTACACCCTTCCCTCCTGGATGATTTCTGCAGCAGGGGGCGCTTCGGATCAGTCTCCCTTGAGACAAAGTCAACCACAGTACCTGGTGTGGCTATATAGGATTAGCGTGGCTTACTTGAACAATAGGAATGCCTGTCTACAAGGACCATTGCCGAGGTTTAGCCTTCAGGCGACTGGCTTTTCAGGTGCCTGGCGTCGTTATTGGTTACCTTCGGCTCAAAGTATGGGGAGGAATTTACCAGTCTGCGCGGAACCAAGTACGAACCCATTTCGGAATTCTCAGGATGGATATCAACAACCATTATGTTGATTGGCCGAGAGTCAGAGCGGCCAGCAGGAGTCTATTCGTATAGACATCACGCTGCTGAGAGAATCTGTGACACGTATGGGAGTTTATGTTACGGAATCCTGGGCGTCTGCCTCTGTGAGGAAACTGGGCCAAGTCGTGTGATATGGAGGCAATCTGAAGGACTGTGCAACACGGCAAACTTTTGCAATTGAGAGTCAGTTTGCAGATGCGACGGTTTGATGAAGTCCCTTCGAAAGAAGACAGGGCACAGATAGCACAAGCGACTGAGGGCTGTCTCAGAGGTGAAGCGGAGAAAACGAGATCACGAATATCATACGTATCGGCCTGGTCCATGATCCGTCAGGTGGCGAAGAATGGTGCGGCCTATCAGAGACAAGGTTCAGGCAGCCACAGTCGGAAAGCGTTACAAACCTTGCAGAGTCCCGGTACACGGTACAAGACGCAAGAAATCAGATAAGCACAACCGCATACTAGTAAAATCATTGGGACCTCATGAGCATATCGACAAGGAACGGGTGAGTATGCGTTGGTGCTACATGCGTGGTCTCATATAGACATAGAGATGAGGGAATGATTGACGAACCGACCGCCCCGACACAAACCTCACATTCACTGAGGTCCTCAGACTCAAGCAGATGAATTGGTTTAACAAGTACGTGACACTTGGTGTTGCTCCCTGCGATTCGTATAGGTGCAGTTCGAACTTAGTGGAGCGATGAGACGGTAGACAGTGGACGAGACCTTATGCATCATAGCTATGCCGTCTCCATCGACCACTCCACCAAAAGGACAGCGTTTGTGGGTTTCGAACCACGCAATTGATGTATCTCCACTGACTGTCTCCTCGGCCTTATCACATTGCGACAGTGTACCCATCAAATCAAATAGACCAAATCAGGACCCCGATTGATTTGCTGTCTAATCCCAAAGGTCGATTTGATCTGATTTGATTGGCCTCATTTGTCAAAATGGACTCTGATGTCAATCAATAAGCAATATTTCACTACGATAACTGTCAAGGATTTTCATCTTGCTACGGACAGAGTCCGCCAAGACCAAATATTTTTCTTTTGAATCGAAATAACCCTAACTGTTTTAAAATCAAAGACTTTCCTGTCAACACTTCTGTCAGACGCTATTTCTACGGGTTAACCCTGCGTTTTGCCTGATTTTGATTGGTCAGTTTCTGCCGCAATTTCGCAGCTAATTTTGCAGTAATCTGTACTTATTTTTGCGAGCCCTGCGCCTTTTCGATGAGAGAACAGAACCATTTCTTCTACCTGTGTGACGACTTCCGTTTGACTATGTCCTCAAATTCCAAAGCCTTGATTTGGTTTATCTGACTGGTTTTGATTCAAATGGACACACTGCATTGCGGGCCGCGATGTATCTCGAAAGGAAAAGACCATGGGCACGGCGACTTGAGGTATGTTCTAGCGACGAGTGGGTATGACAAAGGCACGTTTGGGACAACTGCAGACCATATCACGTGATAGCCATATGGCGGAGGGACTATGGCATGGTTGTGGCCGGCTATGTTGGGAAACTTTACATGAGCCTTCTAGCTATTTGGGATGACTACTATCTACTGCACTGCAAATACAGAGATTGAAATGCGGTCCCTGAGCTTCAATATGCAGCTGCCGATGCGATTGATAATACACAAAAGTAAACCCCTCGAGCTTACCTAAGTCAAAAGAGCGCACGCAGAGTCTTCATGGATGGTTGACGAGTACCGGGCCTACTACTGTTAGTACTCAGCTTCCTAGACCCACAAAGATTCCATTATGGAGATGGTCAGTTTCCATGTCTCTCTGCTGCTCAAAAATATCAAATCGCTCGAGTGTCAATGCTCGATGGCTTTCCCGTCTGCGGCCTTCGATCGACCTTTGATCTCTATGCGGGCACAACGAATGCTGCGAGAGCTACATGATTCTCTAGAAGAGTAGGGTCTGAAATAAAGAAGGAGATGATATGCTCCTCGAAGAGACAGTCCTATAATGATACCGTGAAAATTGGTCCTATTGATATACGTCACTGTCAGACAAAACTCAAGCTAGTTTGCGGTCCTTTTGGTCCAGCAGTCACAATGTGGGGCAATATGCTCCTCTCTCGCGGAGAAGAGAAGTAGGACTCATCATCAACCCCACTTCTGCGTCTCGAGCAAGCCAATGGTGATTCGTTTTGATATGCTCTACTGTTGGATCAAAAGGGCCGTGGCTCATCTACTTTTCCAGCGGTTAACAAGCTGTCGATCTTAACGATTGGCTCTTGCTATTGGAATCATCAGCCATCAAAGACGGAACTCCAGGTCCGGTTGCGCCCCTCAGTGTATCCATCAAATCAGATCTTGAGCCCTTTTTAATTTGCTTACCTAATCCCAGGGGTCGATTTGATTTGATTTGACTCATTTGTCAAATGGGGTCAAGAGGACTGCCTATGTGTAAATTCATCTTACAAAAGGAGTCTGCCAAGACTATTTTCCCAGCATCGAAAATAATGACTTTCCGCCAAGAACCCCATTTGACGAAAGCACAGATTTGGTTTATTTGACTCAATTTGATTCAACTGGACACACTGGCGGCCCTTGAGTTCGGGTTGTCACCTGCAGTACCGAAGCGGTCGGCCACGCCTACATGGAGATCATAGCCGTGGAGATTATAGACCATTTACGCTGGTCATGGAAGAGCCGTACCTGATTTTGTCTGGTAAATGTACCAGGACGGGGCAAGGTGACGGGAAAGCAATCGAAAGTTACTATCGGCCGTCAAATACTAGTAATATCCTACTCCCGTTTTGTCTTTGAGGCAGCAGCCAGCCAGCTTCACACACAGCATAGCCGTACCAAAGTTTTGGTATTACAAAATGGGTCTCTTTTGCTCTTCGAGCCAACATACCGCTGAGGCGAACAATTGTTTCTGCTCGTTTAGAATCGCACCTTACCCACACCTTGTCTGTCACAGCAGCCACCATCATCACACGATCACAGCCACATGGAGAGGACTAGGCTACTGGCAATACTTATGTCTACGCAAGAAAAGTATAAACACCTCCGCCCTAGTACTCTAACAGGGTCATCCAACGGGTAGATCCATTGACCAGAGAGCTACACATAACTTATAGTCGATTCAATCCAACAGCACCAATTCATCTCCCCACCTCTGATCGCCCTACGCCGCCCTCATTTTCTTCGCCTTCTCCTCCAACACCTTCTTCACCGCCGGCCTCGAAGTCAGTCTCTCATTCCACTTCGCATAGGCCGGAAACTCCTTCTGCACATCCAGCCCAGGCACCAACCAACCGACCGCAGTATCCCAAGGCACCCACGCCAGATCGGCATACGTGCACTTATCCCCCACCAAGTACTCGCGCCCCGTCTTCTTCAGATGAGAGTCAATGACGCCAAGCACGCGCTTGATTTCGTTCTCGTAGCGCGCCTCGGCGGACGGCAGTTTCTCGGGGTGGAAGTTGCTGAACCATGCCTTCTGGCCAAAGTAGGGGCCCTGGCCGGACATTTGGAAGTGGAGCCATTGGTAGGCTTGGAATTTTTCGGGTGAGGACGGGTAGGACAGCGTGTGGGACTTGTCGTAAGTTTCGATCAGGTATTGGGCGATTGCGCCGGACTTTGGTCAACAGAAAGGAAATGGAGTTAGTGAGGCTCAGAGAAGGTAGGTGGCAGTCTTTCTTCTGTTGCATCCGTTCTGCTTGGCCCACGGGGGTTGGACGGTGCAAACGGAAGACAAGTGGAATCTCACCTCAGCAAGCGTGATGCCCGTATTCGGGTCCTCGATAGCTGGGACACGTCCATTGGGGTTGAGGCTGATGAAGGGTTCTTTCTTGACGTCTTCGAATGCCTTGAAGACCGTCGTGTAAGGCAGTTTCAGCTCCTCGAAGAGAATGGCGATTTTCCACGGGTTGGGACCCTGTACTTGGGAGGGCTGGGGTCAGTGTTGGGTTGCTCACCAGCCCTGGTAGCTGGACAAGGATAGATAGATGGGAGGGAGCACACGTACGGAGGCATGCGAGTGAAGGGTGATGGGCTTGAGTTGGTCGGCCATGGCTCTCGACTTTGCCTGTGATTGCTGTAGTAAATACTAGTAGGAGCTGTTTTGAATCTTGGGATAGAGAAAGCTAGCTTTGCTGTACTGTACTGAAATACGAGAAGTTGCTGCTGCTGGTTTGGATTGAGCAGCACCCTCTGGCCGCCTTATATACTATCCCTCTCCCACATCACCTACCTTCCCCGAGCTACCAGGCCTTTCCATCAGGACCAATCCGTGCAACGCTGCTTGGTAATATCGGGAGTCTTGTATCTGATCTCGGATGTCGGCCTGCAGGTTGCCAATGCAAGCCCTGCATAGTGCCGCCCCGCCCACATAGGTTAGACGAGGCTAAGAAATCTTCCCCCTCTAGGCTTCCCTCAGTATTTTGCACTCGGAAGCACCAGGTTTTCATGCAGGCGGCAAGCTCTGCACACTACTCTGCGCCGCCGTATCATCTAGACAGAAGCCTTAAAGATTTCTATGTGGCCAGATCAGTAGCATGGCGCAGACCCTGCCCTCAGGTCTTTGATCCAAACTGTTTAACTGTTGGGCCAAAATGACCGCGCCCAGGGAGGACCAGAGGACCCTAAGCTACTAGTAGCTTATTTCTGACATAAGCTTAGCTGGATGTATTAGAAATCAGAGAGGAAGAAAAGTAAAGGGGCTAGCACGGCGCAGAAGATTGCTCTGTATTACAAATCAGCAAATGATACTATTTTTAGAACGTGAGGATTGTCTCGGCTTTCTTACGGACCAAAGACTTAAGTTAGCACGGGTTGTTACAGGGGTAATCGTGGAAGCTTGTAGACACAAGAATTGAGACTTGAGAAGTTTAGAAGTGAAGTTACCGAATGGGAAACCATTAGTAGAACTAAGTACGTAGGCAAGCACGAGACAAAGCCTTCGGAAAGATCGATCAGATACCTCCTCATTAATACCGGTCTCCTTTCTTCGCGTCCGCCTTGATCTGATCAGCAACTTTCTCTGCCAGAGCGTCTGTGCGAAAGAAGAAACTTGGTCAGTGGATGTGCGGATACCAGGACTGCTATATCAATGCAATGAGAGAGTGGATGTACTCACAAATAGTGCTCATAGGATGACCAGGCGAATATAGGATACGCACTCGCATCGACTACCCTTGACCTCTCGACTCCAACAACTTTGGCCTTGGAGTCCACCACGGCCATGTTGTCGTTGGATCATCCCATCTTGCATGTGCAGCTGGCAGGCCACACAGTGTTGAAATCCCTCCTGATCGATGCTAGTAGCAAGTCGACATCAGAACTGGAGCCATGGCCTTGGTCGCGAAGAATTCGCGAAGATGCTTGTACACTGCTGACAGTGTGTCCGTTTGAATCAAACAAGACTTTGAATTTAATAAAATTAGTCCAATGGAGGTCTTGGCGGAAAGTAGATTATTTTTGATATTTGATGGGGAAAAAAGTCTTGGCAGACTCTCTTGGTGAGATAAAATTACGAAAAGACATGTTGGAAATCAATTGGCCGTCAGCCAATCCCTGGCCTCATATATCACGTGACTATGCACGTGCCAGTCCGCACATTATATTAGCCTGCTCCTCCTTCTGAGATAGATTCTGCAAGGTAGATAGAATCCATCCATTCACTTCATCAAGACAGCCTACTTCACAAAGCACTAGTACTTGTTAGAAGTAGTAGCAAACAGCGTACGGAGGTGCCAATTGAATTTCTTTTGGTTACTCCTATCAAGAGGAGCATTTGCTCACACTAATAACTATAGAAGCGCATCTGCAACAGCTCAGAAACAGCATTTGGCGTTCAATTCGTATAGCAATGCTCACTGCCATCAATAACAGGGCGTAAAAGTTACAAGAGCGTTTCGTGCGTTTCGCATGCGGGGACCCCTGTATCATCCTGCTAATACGTAACAGATACGTATCGTATGCGCAGGGATTCTGACAGTACTTACTAACATTTGACTCTATTTGACAAATGAGTCAAATCAAATCAACCTCTGGGATTTAGTAAGCAAATCAAATAAGGGTCAATTCCTACACAGTGTACACAGCAAGTGCGACACCTTGATCCACAGAATCTGTCAGCCAGCAAGGATCTATAGCTGGTTTGTCGTTGGTGCGGTAAGAGCGGCAACAACAAACACATAATGTTACGACATAACCTGCGCAATGGCCCAGAGGGGCATTAGGGCTGAGGGCTAGGGCAGGCTTGGCGCTCTGAGCGTCATACCTCGCTCTTCGCCTCCATAGCACTTAGATAGTTCAGCCATCACCATACCAATCGACATAGTCATACAGTTGCCTTCTATAGCTTCTTCGTGACTCTCCGCTATCTCTATAGCACCCCCATACCCTGTTGCACGGCTTTCCGCGTAACACATAAAGTATAGGCATCCGTAGGGGAGCCTGTAGCAAAGTTCTGGTTATCGCCCACATCCGCCGACGCTGAGGTACTCGAAATCCAGCCAATCAGAAGAAATTTGACGAGTGAGGTAAGAATGCTATTGGAAAGAGACTTTCGACTTCCAGAGGCAGCTTCTCCCAGGCTGGAGAATAGTCAGCCCGATAGAACAAAAACTGCACCCAAAGAAGTCACCTCCTGGGTTCGTTAATATTTCAGTGCCTAACCACGAAACAGGACCTCGCCCCCACATTAGTTGCCCCTAGTCGTATCCGCACCTCTTGAGCTTGGCTAAATAAGGCATTCTCTTCAGGGGCTTACTGAAATGCCAGCTAATGAAATGACAATAAATGTAAAGATGACGGGTGTACTCCGTAAAAACAAGAGATTGGAGTCTACCAGCCATGCATGACTTCCCCCAATTCGTCGGCTAGATCCATCGATTCGACCTGGATGCCGCGCTACAGTACTGGAAAAGGTTTCTTGGTGACTACCAACCAGCACAATTCTGCAACCCGTCCCAGATAGGCTTAAGTTCGCCGAAGTGAAGTCCAATGTTGATGCCACTACCTTCCAAGGAGGCGTCACAGCCTCCATCGTCTTCAAGCGGCCTACTCACTTGTGTTGAGCGTGGCTATGTGGAATGAGTTGAGATAGCCAGTTGTGGCGTCTAAAAAAGGGCGCAGTGAATGCAGATATGAATACAAATTGCTGTGTCGTACAGCGAAAGTGGCTGTGAAATTGCAGTAGAAGTTGACCGATCAAAAGCAGGCAAAAGGCAGGGGTTACGCGTAGAAATCGCGTTTGACACCTTGTCATCGAACATCTTCTTGGCAGCAACGACATTATTGTCGATAATCTGCTCACCGGCCGCAAAGCGGATGTTGAGAACCCTCAACTTCTAAATGGCGTTTGTGCCAGTTTTTGCCCGTCCGCCAAGGCCTCCCGAAATCAGATTCCATCCCCGAGCAGGCAATTTCGGCTTACACAATATTTTCAAGGCCCTGCGCCAAGACCGCCAAGGGTACTCTTCGAAGATGCTGTTAGCACCTTCTCCTACACCATCATCCTAGTAATCGTGACGGAGCTAATATTTATTCGCAGGTACTGCTTCAGCCCTTCGAACCAACACCTGAAGATGTAAAGCAATACCATATGCACTGGGTGGTGATGGCGCAAAGCAAGGTCTTCATGTCCATCAAGTTCGCGCTGATGGTCGAGGTCCAGAAAACACTGACCGGCTACCGCTTCAAGCTTCAGTATAATAACCGCGCTTTGAGCAATAATGGGCAGGCTGATGAGGTAGGCGAGCACTTTAATGCAATTCTAAATTCGATGGGAGAGGCGAAGATGAAGACAGGGCTTTTGGTAGACTCGCCGCTGAAAGGTCTATGGGAACTGTAAAACTACGGTATGAGTGGGAGCTTGGATGGCTCTGAATTCCTCCTTGCTGCATTTTTGTGAAGAGAGTGATGTTTACTTTGTTCCTCGAATTTCTGGGCGTGGGATATCTGTCTGTATCTCTTCCTTAGACATCATTGGGGCGAGATCTGTAGACGTCAGCCAGTCCCTAACTCTATCCAGCAACAGGCAGCTATTTAAATTCGATACCAATCGCGATGGCTTTCTGGGTGAGTGCGTTCGTTGTTGCTTGTTTGTGGCTTGCCTGATGGCTTTGACTACTAGTACTATCCAAGCGTTGTTTTGCTTCTGTTATCGAGCGACATGCAGATTGGAGCAAAGTAGAGAATCGTCCTACAATGTGGGGGCATTTAAACCCTAGGTCACTCATTCAAAGGGCCGCAGCTGAAGAGAGGTTTGCCTCAAGACTTCTTTCATAGCAAAGTTGGAGGGATATTAGTCAAAACTTTCATCGATCACTCCACTATGCCGCACATTTAGACGCACCAGATAACGAGGACCTATGTTATACAGCATAGGATGTATTTCTCACCTGAGGCTATCAGATTCACGTAAACTAAGTGACTAGAGAGCGTTGCCTATTGTGATAGCACATGGCAAGGCCTCACTGATCTTACGAAAAGAAATATAACAACCACGGCAGTGAAAAAATGGTGGAAACAGCTGCTGAGACAACAATCATGGTTATACGGAAAATTTGGTCAGTGACATCCCATGATGGGCCTTGCTTGGATCCTTTCCGGAATTGTACAGAACCCTGGGCCCACTACACCATTCACCAAGTGCAAAACACTCCTTGATCGAGATGGCGCTTACTCATGGGAGAAGCACCGCGTCCGCCAAGAGACAAAAAACCTTCCTACTTAACAGGAAGAGGCCCTCTTGAACTAACGCTAAGGAAGCCATCGAAGTGCGCTTAGATCAGCCATAACCGTAAGATTGCTTAGAGAGTACAAGATTATACAGCTTAGTCGTCTGTGGTCTAATGAAATCTTAGTAACAATTGAATGACACTTGAGTGTCATCAAGCATTCAATGTAATCAGGCCTACTCCAATTGTTCTGTCACACTCCAATGCCACTTGAACGCCACTCGGATATATTCTGATTATGCTCCAAGTATACTCTAATCACGCTCAAGTCTATTTCAAGCTATAATTGAATCCTTAGAGGAGAGCATGGTAGTACTATCTACAACGTATTTTACCGAAAATATGGTCACAGTATGATCAAAATGTGCCTCTCTTATCATATTAGTATGGTGGTCATTTGATAGAATAGCTGTCGTTTCTACCAACGGCACTTAGCTCATATCCTTAGCTACCCCTTCTCCTGGTAAGTAAGGCCCAAAAGCTCTGCGCCCTGATTTGCGGGAACATGAGCTCTCAAGAAAACCGTCCAGGTGTAGCGGGGGAGAGCTTGTCCTTGTACACCTGAGCAATGACGTAGGAACCTACAGTGAAGAATACTTCTCACTTTGAAGTATGAAACCAGACTCGAATTCTGGTCCCCGGCCCTTGCTGAAACAGAAGTAGCAGTTCTTCTGTGAGCAAAAAGCATACCCATCTTCAACATGGGAGGCGCTCGTGCCGTAGAAAAGGGTAACTGATATCGTCATGTAGATCAGTGGCCAAATACCCATCGCTGCCGCTGGATCAGAGCAGAGATAAAAACACTTGAGCAAGGTTTGATGAAAATAGTTGTGGAGTACGGAGATCTTGTGAAATTACGCACGTTTTTATACGGCAGACGCTGTCTAATCTGCCTCTTCCAAACCTTCTCCGTACATCACCTGTGTTGCTCACATGCACAAATACTCTCACGCTATAGATGGGTGCCCAGACCTTCATGCTTCAAGGTCACCCAAATTAGCCGAGTGCCGTATGCCATGGTCAACAAGAAGGAGTACAAGAACATATGCTGCTTGTAACACAAAGCTAAGCAACAGGCCAAGCCACGGGCTCAGGGGCTCGTCTTGGCACCTGCCAGGTATCACCTACCCAGCACGGCATTTCTCATGTGAAGAACCTTTTCTGTTATCCTCGAGAGCAGTGCCCAACGGAGAAGGTAAATGAAGCAACCCCCCCGCAAAATCGTCTAAGCCACCAGGCGCGGATAGGGAGGCATAGAATTGAGAAGAGGAGGGAGGACAAAAAGTGCTCTTCGACCAGAACATTGGTTCTGTCCAGCCAATCCGGAGTCGAAGGCCCAAAGTGTTAGAAGTATGCCATGAAGCAGTGCAGATTAGATTAGTAAGCAAGAGAAAGTAGATGGAATGGATTGATTGACTTGCTATCTCAACTCCTGAGGAGTAGGATGACCGCTATATATACGCATAGAAGAGGCAAGCTATAGAATCACCTAGAAGGAGATCATAAACCAGCGTTGCAATGCTAACTGCAGCATTTTGTGAGTGTATGCGTTTCTGAGTAATAGCGCGTGGCGAACAGTTGCGGTGGTCGGAGAACTCCGTCTTCCGCTGACACAAAGAACCTCTCTTTCACCAAGTCATGTCGATATATAAGTCATGTGTCACTATTTGATCCCCGGGAAACAGGGTATCCATCAAATCAAATGAACCAGATTTAGCGCCGATTTGGTTCATTTGATTCATTTGTCAAACGGGTCAAACCTTAATAAGCAATAATTTTTGTTAGGATAACTGTCAAGAATTTTCATCTCGTAAAGGAGTCCGCCAAGACTTTTCTTTCAACAAAAATACTTAGTAAGCCAAAACATACAACTTTCCTGCCAAGACCCAATTTGATTAATTTGACAAACGTGATTTGATTTGATTGCCAAGCATTTGATTTGATTTGATTTGACTAATTTGATTTGACTGGATACACTGCCGGGGAAATTTGTTCCTTTCGACATCAAACCCTTGGCCAGCGGCCTACACGAAGACTTTGAAGCGAGGAGAATTTACGTTTGAAAGCCCCAACCCCACGACAGAAACTGACGCCGTTAATCCAGAAGCACAAGCATATTTCTAAGCTATCTTGTGCAATCTGCACCCCTTACGTCTTAGGGCGATAACTCCAAATATATTCAGGGAATGTGCTGGCATGGAAGAAAAAACACGATATGTAGCTCTTCAGGCTACACGCCTCCATCTTATCACGCAGAAGGATTACAAATCGGAGCTCGCTCATATATCCTACATCTCCTAACATCACAGGCAGAAATTGGTAAATGACTAGCCTCGCCTACTACCAGGGCGGCTGGTGATGACACAATGCTAACGCGCATCGTATGCGTAGGAGCATGGATGAAGGTGGAGTTGTCTCGTGCTGTAGAAAAAATGGGACGCTGGGGATGTGGTCGTCTGAATACTGGCATCGAACCTGCAAAGGGAATAACTGAGGCTATCGAAGTGAAAAACCGGGAAGATCTCGATATTATATACAATTTGAGCTGGACTTAACAACGCTGAACAGGAATTTAGAAACTCGACTTGATGCAGACGGCGCACAGCTCACTTTCCACGGAATATGTGACGGGGAGGGGCACCCGCGAGCCGTGATAGGGATTTTGCCTGTCTAGGTTGTCCGCCAAGCAAGTTTTGGTCTGCCTCAATTTCATGAATTTCATGAAGTTACCTGCACTAGAATTGTCGGTAGGCATGATTTTACTGGTACTATCTGTTATTATGAGATAGCGTGGTCATTTGAGCTCCTGAGTTCTACTCGAGCGGATGTTGTTGCGGGATATGGCGCATGATGCAATTACTAAGTATTGGTTGAAGAAATTTGGAAACATTCGGCGCGGGTTTATAGGAATTAAGGATCAGATTGCTTCAGTCAAGCAACATGGGACGCCATGTGAGGAGCTGTTGCTACCAGAGTAAATTAGGTAATGAACCTTAATACCGATGAACATCAATCACTCATATTCATTAAGGGCGTTCTGCACATCGCAGCAGGACGACTTGGCGGACTGACGAATGAATGAGAACGTGATAGGCGTACGTGAAATCTGCCCTAGGTTGGATATCTGAACCGAACAACGCCAATATCTTTCAGTAATTGGCGCTTGCATCCGCCCGCATAGGCACCACATTACTTGTCACCATTGCCCCTGACGCTGCATATTCGTCCAGTTTGACAGTACACGCCTGTACTTTAAGTCAGCAATCACATTTTGTCTTCGGAGTCTGAGTATCTGTGCTCAAAGCTGAACCCAAGGTCCTGAAATTTAGCACGTTTCTCACAAGCTCACCGCTATTATCGGATTTGGCCACCTATTGTGCGAGGAACAGTAAATACACGTGTAGCACGGTCCGTGTTCGGGTCTCCTCCTGTTGGATCGAACGTGAGATGGCTCTGGTACCCTGTTGCTAGGCCGCCCGAAGACCGGGCTCAGGAAGACACTGACATTGGCTCCGAAGACGCCGAGACTGACTCCGGTGTCGAAGACGTGGAGATGAGGTCTATAGCGTGCAAACCCGGGAAGAAAGGGTACTGCATGTTATATGTCTTGCCTGGGTAGGCATCGGCGAGGTAGTGTTATGGTATGCGAAGTCGTTATCGCCGAAGAAGTCGGTGAAGCGGACCATTTGCGTTGAGTGTTTGGGTTTCGGGGCCTCTAGATAAAAGGACTGAATTGCTTAGTTGAGAGGGGCGGAATAAGCTGCCTTTGTGCTTACGAGATGCTGATTGAGTTGAGCATTGGTGACGAAGTGACTGTCAACAAAGAGCTCGGCTTCGTTGGCTATGTGTGAAACAATGAGAAATGCAAAGTTCTTCCAGTAGTTTCTGCGTTTGCTAGTGAAACATCAGCAGAAATGGGAGGTAGCAAAGACCTACACTGAAGCGAACTACAAAACTGGCAGTTGCCTTAATAAGTTGCTATCTACTGCTGGTCCAATGTTACTGTCATTTTCTTCAACATCATTGACTGTATACTTACTGGTTGGCGCTGGTTAGTGCAGCCGAGGTTGCGGCTGTAAGGCAAGTTGTCCCTTATCCAGTGCGCCTTGCTTTGGATTCGAAGGTACAAACATCTGTTCGAGTATTTCTTTCCGACAGAACAGAAGCTCAAATGCTGGGTTCTGTAGGACAGCTTTCGACCAGAGCGGATCTTGCTTGCCACTAAATGATACTAGATGGTGGAGAAGGGAACCCGCACCTGCTTATTGATCTCACGCATACACTTTGGTTATGTCACCACCAAGAAGGTAGATGAAGTCTTGTTTCCACTTTAACGCTGCATGTTGGTTATACAGACCAGCAGCTGACAAAGCCTCCTTTTCCATTGCGTAGCCAGCAAGTCAGCCCAAAGCTTCCACTGCGTTCTTGCTGGACACAAACATAAGATCATTCTTTGAGTGCTTGAGTGGTCCTGTCCCGTCTAGAAACGAATGACTCCGTAGCTTTGATGCTTAGCTCCAAGGGATAAAACCTTATAGTTAGTGAAAGTGACATGGTAATGGCTGCAGATGTTGAAAGCTTAGAGTTCTTTGGCAGCTTTTCTAAATTCGAGAATGTTGTGTGCAGGGTACCCATCAAATTAATTTGAGCCAACTATACCAAATCCTTGCTTTTGTCAGATCAAAGCGAGACTTTGGGATTTGACCAATTACCACAACTACTAGTAGTACTAAGTAGCCAAATGGAAGTCTTGGCAGAATTTTTTTTATTCCAAGAGATATTTAGGGTCACTTTCAATTTGATGAGGAAAATTAAAGTCTTCGCGGACTCTCCTTGTGAGATGAAAATCCTTGACAGCCTTTCAAATGATAAATGTGTCATTAGTGAAGTTTTGCTGAAGCATCTCTACAGCTGTAGGCGCATAACTGCAGTGTTTTGGGGGCCCCTCTTGCCAAACACGCCCCTTATCAGCGCAAGAGTGCCTAGATCGTGTGCAAATCTGTCCCCAATTTGATTTGTACTGATTGGCTCCATGCTAGAAGGGAAATTTGTAGCCCACATGGCGAATATGGTGGTTCAATGCAGTGTCCCGCCGGTAACACAGCTTGAGCTGCTTGCGCGTTTTGGGTTTGTGATCCCACAGTTGGATTTACGTAGTAGATCCTGATTGTTGACATCAAGCATCTGTCAAAACCTCAAATACAACCGCTCAAGGGAGACCCCACAAGCCGAAGGGCAGGCAATCCGTTCACGTTCTCTCAGTAAGGTATTCCTGGCCTCGGAAGTGTGTGAGGTCCACATTCACATTTTGCTAGCTCAGCCTGGATTTGTCATGGGAGGGGGAGGGGGGAATTATTTATGTAACCAAACTCGGAAAGTTCGGGGTCTTAAGCTTGGCCCGAAGCTAGGTGCCAAAAATAAAGATAGTTCCGTACACACCACAACTTGCTATTGCTATTCAGAAGGGTATAGGCAACCCATCACGCTCATTTACGGCAGCTACTCTTTTGGGCATTGAATTAATTGCCTTATTAATCTCCTCCAGCGTGATTTTATCCCATTCCTCCTCTATAGCCCTGCGTAATTCTGTCGGATCAAGAAGTAGCCCCCTATTCTTCAGCCTCTGTTTGATTGTCCTCTAAATCGTCTCAATAGGGTTAAGATCTGGCGATTCTAGAGGATTTGATTCGCATTGGATCCCTAATCGTTGCTTTGCTTGTTTGCACTTGTTATCTTTGTTGCTGCGGGTGCTATGGCTATTATCGTTATCCTCCAAAAGTATCTAATCTGACTCCCAGTTCAAAGTAACAACACCCTCCAAAATCCCTATATAATCAGCTTGAGTAAGCTGCCCTGAGCCTCCTGCGCTAGTGTAGAAGTATAGCTGACTCTTAAAATTATAACTAATGTACGCAAACACGTGCTAAATTTGGTTACATTGTTTCAAACGAAATTGGGTCTTTTGAGGCATATTGTTACAGCACGTGAACACGCCAAGCACCGACAGGCACTACGGAGCTGCCTGGCACTCTGCGAAGGAACTATGACAGACTTGGACAGGACTGGACCCTGAACTACACACATGGTCAGACCTAGACAACGTAATGATCAGAGGTGATCAGGATGAGCACTCATGAGCAATGATCAGAGGTGATCAGGGTGAGCACTCATGAGCAATAATCAGAGGTGATCAGGATGATCAACTCTGAGCACGAATCTTCTACTTTATATAAGCACGTTTATTTCCCAGATAGTTTTATAGTTTTTGTAGTCAACTTATGTTATCAGCTTATATCTAAGTTGAAGACATCTTAGTATTATTTATTATACTTCTTGTTCTACCTAACTAACTCTTTAAATCTAGCTTCTAATTAAGACTTATCTTAACTAGTTAAGCTCTAATACTTTGACTATTACTCTTAAGAATACTAAATATAGTTAAACAGATATTATATATGTTACTTAAAGACATATATTATGTTAGTTACTTTAGGACTAACAAGTACTACTATTATTAAAGACTAAGAAAGAAACGTATAATTCAAAGTTATATTATGTCGAAACCTATAGCTACAGATTAAGCATACGAGTAGCAAGCGCAGATGCACTACTAGCCTGTAGCTAGCGCCAAGGAAATTGGCTATACATATATAGCCAACTTCCTAAAGCGGCCTAGCGCCATGTTAATGAGCTTGTTAATCTAGATTAATAAGGACTAGCTCCACACTTATTGCCCCTGATTAATAAGCTTACCCTTGTACTTAAAAAGGGCAGCACTGCCAGATCTAGATAGATTTAGACAGGCAAGAATAAGACCACAACAGGTGAACAGTATCCTCTTATAAGGCGGTACTTTAACACACTATTAAACTTGTTTTATAAAGATAAAAAAAGACTTTAAGAGTTTTTGAATTAATTATAAATTAATTTTCTATTTTATATATAAGTAATAAATATTAATAAAAAGAAGGTCTTATATATAGCTATTTTTCTTTAAGGAGCTATATATAATTAGTTTAAACCTTACCTTAAAAATAAACTTAAAGAGGCAATAAAGGACTAAAAACTAGATATATAATAGATCTTTTATAGTTTTGTTAACTTTGTAATTAAGATTAAATAAGTATATAAGGACGTAGACATAATTAAGAAAGTTAAAAGAGACTTATTGTTAGGATGTGTTACGCAGAAAGCTATGTAACAGGGTATAGGGGTGCTATAAAGATAGCGGAGAGTCACGAAGAAGCTATCAAAGGCAACTATATAACTGATTAATATGAAGATGAATAACTATCTAAGTGCTATAGAGGCGAGGATAGAGGTATAACGCGCAGGGCGCCAAGCCTGCCCTAGCCCTCAGCCCTAAGACCGGATGCGGCATAGCACTAGTAGAGCATTTAGTGCGCAGCCAATGCTTGGCCAATGCTATGCCCTGCCCTAACGCCTCTCTAGGCCATAGGGCATTTTGTGCTGTAACAGTTACCGGCAGCAGAAAAAAAGGCCACGGCCTCGTGGTCATAGAAAAGAACTAAAATAAGCAGAAAAACAGCATCTCTCAGGGCTGAAACTCCTTCCGCTTTTGATCTAGCGCCGTAGCTGCCCTTGTAGCTCTCTATAAAGCGTTAAGCCGTTAGCTTATTAACGCCCTTAGAGCCTAGAGTGCTCTAGAGCCTCTTTATATACCCTAATTAACTTCTAGGCCTGCTTTAGCGCTGTTAGATCCTCTTAAGTATTATCTTCAGCTTTATATCCTTTCTATCTGACTTTATATAATATTACCTTATTATTAACAAGCTTACTAACTATCTTTTCTACTTTCTATTGTTTTATTCCTTATTTGTTAATGTAATCTGGCAAAAGGGGGAGGTTTTGTTAATAAGGATTGTCATCAGGGTTTAGAGCAGGGTTAAGATGGATCTTACTGATCACTTAGTACATTTTCTAGGCCGTAAGCAGGTCTATTTGTAGCGCGTTACCCTTGCTAATAGTCTTGAGGATTCGAAAAGCTCTAGTGTAGTGTAGAAAGAGTATAAACTTGTGTATAAAAGGCAGTAAGTAGCTCTTTAGCGAAAGGCGTAGCCTAGCCTAGCTAGAGTCAAATAATTAATCTTATATTGCTTTATTTATTATTACTTCTATAGTAATTTAAAGCTCTTTAACAACTATATCTCTAGTAGCTTTATACTCTTATACTAACTACTCTAACGCTTTTAGCATTAATAGCGTTAGCTAAGTACTAAAAGTAAAGCTATAAATAACTTAAAATAAGGTCTAAGTAATAACAGAAAAGTAGTTACTATTAAAGTAAAACTTAATAGTATATAAGAACTTCTTTTAATTAGCCTATATAATATTAATATAGAAATATAGCGTTATTTCTAGCTCTTAGTTAACATATTTTAATTAGTTATCTGCTAAAGAATAATACGCTATAATATAGATTAGTTAAGTGCTAGCTATCCCATCTGACTTTGTATGATATTGCCTCGTTATTAACGAGCTTACCAACTATCTTCTCTACCTTTTATTGTTCCATTCCTTATTCGTTAATGTGATCTAGCAGAGGGGGGAGGTTTCATTAATAGGGATCGTCATCAGGGTTCGGAGCAGGGTCGAGATGGATCTTGCTGATCACTTAGTGCATTTTCCAGGCCGTAGGCAGGTCTATTCACAGCGCGTTGCCCTTGCTAATAGCCTCGAGGATTCGAAAAGCTCTAGTGTAGCGTGGAGAGAGTGCAAACTTGTGTGTAGAAGATAGTGAGTAGCTCTTTAGCGAAAGGCGCAGCCTAGCCTAGCTAGAGTCAAATAATCGATCTTATATTGCTCTGTTCATCATTACTTCTGCAGCAATCTAAAGCCCTTCTACAGCTATATCTTTAGCAGCTTCACGCTTCTATACTAACTACTTTAGCACTTCTAGCATTAGTAATGTTAGCTAAATACTAAGAGTAAAGCTATAGATAACTTAAAATAGGGTCTAAGTAATAATAAAGGAGTAATTACTATTAAAGTAAAACTCAATAGTAAGTAGAAATTCTTTCTAATTGCCTTATATAGCATTAATATAGAAGTGTAACACTATTTTTAGCTCTTGATTGACTTGTTCTGACTAGCCATCTACTAAGGAATAATACGCTATAATATAGATTAGCTAAGTGCCAGCTAATTCGAAAACCCTCTTTTATAGCGTAGCGGTAAATTAAGCATCTTAATTAGTAGTAATAGTATTAGATTAATATATTCTGTAGAAGAGGTCTTAATTAGTAGTAATAGTATTAGGTAAGTTATAACCTCTTTTGCAGAAAACGTCTTCTGCAGAATACATTATCCTAAAGGCATTTAGCCTAATCCTTAGCTGATTATGCCTTCTTCCCTATTTTAAAAG